CTGAGGGAGCACTCTGTGCCTTCATCCAGGTCATTGATGAACAAATTGAACAGCACTGGACCGAGGACTGATCCCTGGGAGATATCGCTAGCTACAGGCCTCCAACTAGACTCTGCACCACTGATCACCACCCTCTGAAGCCAGTTCCAGCCAGTTCCTAATCCACCTCACTGTGCACTCATCTATCCCACACTTCCAGAGCTTGCCCAGGAGGACACTGTGAGGTACGGTATCAAAAGCCTTGGTGAAGTCGAGACAGATGACATCTACCGCTCTCCCCTCATCTATCCAGTTGGTCATTCCATCATAGAAGGCTATCAGGTTAGTCAAGCATGATTTCCCCTTGGTGAATCCATGCTGACTACTCTTGAGCATCTTCTTGTCCTCCATGTGCCCACAGACAACAGCCAGTATGAGCCGTTCCATCACTTTTCCAGGGACAGAGGTGAGGCTGACTGGCCTGTAGTTGCCTGGGTCCTCCTTCTTGTCTTTTTTGAAGACTGGCATGACATTGGCTTTCTTCCAGTCCTCCGGCACCTTTCCTGTTCTCCGGGATCTTTCAGTCTCCAGGATCTTTCAATGAATTTTCTATATTTGTTTAGTGCTTTAATACTTTGCTCACTTCTGAGTGCAAAATCATTGATTTTATTAATCAAACAAAACACATACACACACACACGCGTGCGTGCGTGTGCACACATATACAAAAAAAAAAAAAGCCAGGACAGATCTCAGCAAAAGGTATAAAGTACATCTTTGAATCTGCAGGTTGGGCTTCTCTTGGTTGGTCCCTTTTCCTATCGTTTGAGAGACTGCATAAGACAGTGTGTGGAACATGATGTGACATACTTTGCAATGGGTCTAATTACCATTAGAATGTTTATAGTACAGCCACACACTATTACTCAAGATACCATTCTATCTCTAAAAGGTCAAATTTAGCCCTTGTAAAGGACCTCCACTGCATTCAAATGGTCAAACTGTTCAAACGGTTTGTTTAGTGTATGATGGCCATTGGCATATCCTGATGACCTCTATGCATCAATTAAAATAAGGCTTAAATTGTTTTCAAATGTGGCTTTATTAGCTGCAGCAAATATGGCATAAACTGAATCTGAAAACTAGCAAACGTATATCTGCATCTGTTTCCTAGGTAACCATGATAAAAGGATACAGAAAAACGTATTGAAGAAAAAGAACACTGTCCAGTGACTTTTTTTTCCATAAAGTCCTAGAAAATGCTTTAATGCAGTAAAAGCATTTCAGATGGAGCTGTTAAGGTATCATGCAACAACTTCATCACATACTAGTGAGATTAATATTAACTGTGAGGGTGACAGAGCCCTGGGACAGGCTGCACAGAGAGGCTGTGGCATCTTCTCTGGAGATCTTCCAAACCCGCCTGGATGCCACCCGGTGCCCCGTGCTCTCAGTGTCCCTCCTGGAGCACGGGGCTTGGACTAGAAGATCGCTAGAGGTTCCTGCCAACCTCAATCATTCTGTGATTCTGTGAAATCACAGTATAGAATTTCCATTACCTACACAGGTAGCCATCTCAGATCATAGCATCAAGTTCAGATTGACTATGATCACTGTTTCAAAATGCTAGCATGGTCATTTCATATTGAACTGAGATTACCTCTCTAAATTATATTATGCATCCTCATGATCGTTTGGAGTCTACTGAGAATGTTGTATTTCCTTTTAAGTAAAAGGAGAGAAGTACACCAGACAGGACATGTTTCACTGAGAAATGAATTTTCCATTGGCCCTTGTATATAGTATTTTATTTCTTATGTAATAGTAATGCTTTAGGTAGAACTGTCCGCAAAGTTGGATTTTTTTTCCAGCTCTCAATATATCAAGACTATTTCTAGTCACCTTTATGTGGAAGAGAGGAGACAAGAGTAGAACTAGGAAGCTAAGAACAACGATTCTATCTCTTTTGTCTCCCATCGTGAAAAAGAAGTTGGTATGGGGAGTACAAAGACTAGGCCTTCCCTTCCCAGCAAAACAAAATTTTATGGAGAATAACTCTCCCTGATGGAGCAGGAGGGTTGGACTAGAT